AGCATCCTGAAGTAGTAATTTTTGCGCTAAACTACTTTTGATTCTCATAATTAAAACAATAATTGAATCTCAAACGATACTTGGCAGTGACTAACATCCTTGTTATTTCAAGCTGTACGTACTGACGATTCATCTTGAAACGAAATAAAAAACCATGATTTTACATGTAAACTGAAGTGAATTTCCAAATCTAGTCAATGGTGAAAATAATGTCAGTTATGAATTATAAGGATCCAAAAATATAGATCATTGAAACCCAGTAACATCGGTGACAAGGTTAACAAGATGGTCCACTACTCTGTTTGACTCTCAATGATCATTCACTAGCTGAAATGTTATCTTACATGCTTACAGGTCAAAATAATGAAAAGGAAAATAATTAATTTTGATAACGTGTGATTGTGGAGACTGTTGGATTTTATGAACTGACTGAACTTAGATATAAACACCGTCGAATACCAGTTCAGTTGTCTACATGTTAAAAGTCTTTGCGCAAAACTGAATATCCAAAATACGATTCCAACTTGTGGGTCGAAGATCGTCATTACTGGGAAGTTCCATACTACGACGAAGTGATCTTCCAGTAATTCCAAGTTTTTAATGGCGGTTTAACTAAGGTCAAACCATGGTTCTAATGAAATTCACACATGTAGAACCAACGAAATAAAGAGAATAGTTAATTGCCTCCAAATAACTTTTTTCTCGAAGACTATTGGAAAAAAAAGAAATTTAATAATTCTAGAAAAAATTATTAAGAACAACAACTTTAGGTATTGTTGAATAGTATCCAGTTATTTCAATTTAATCCATTTCTAATGTAGTCAGTCTAATCCATGGGTAATCCATGCCAATCTTCACATTCCAATTAGTATAATTCTATTCATAAAAACTTTTAAAATTAAAAAAAACAAACATAAACATTAACATTTTTGTCTGATGGGAAAATATGAACAACATATGGGTGTATGACCTGGTAAAAATGAAGAATTAACAATGAAACATGAAAATAACATTGAATATACAGTTAGATACAATACAATAAACTATGTTAAACTATATTTATGGTTGTTATTTCATTACTCTTTAAATGATTAAATTGAAAAGAGAAAGAACACATGCATAAACAGTTAACTAAAATGAAAATCAGAAGGAAACATGTAAAATTTGTGAGAAAAATAAAGATCAATTGAGACAATATCACATTTGGATAAAAGATGTAGAACAAGAAAAATTAATTGGGAATTTTATGATTGATTACGTCATAAACACGCTCTGTGTTTAGACGCCTTTGTTCTCTTTCACTCTTCCACATTTCAAAATTGAACTTCTCATCTCGATAGTGAAAAGCATTGTAATGATTGTGTTATGTTATTAGTTAACTGAATTGTTTTCCAAACATAAACAAAACTTATACTTTCTTTGTAAGATTAATGTGAATAGGAAAAGTGTTTAAATTATGGGAAGAAATAAAGTGTGTGTGTGTGAGTGTGACTTCATTCAACTTCTACAGTGTTTATTCATTCACATTAATCTTTATTTTAGCATAAACAAATTCGTAAGAGTACACATACACAATCGTTTTATTTTTGTCTGAGAAATATTTAGATGAAGAATAGATCAAATGAATGTGATCATCTTTTTTCTCTTAAAAACCGTTAGTGATTCATTTACATGAAAATAAATATATTGCATGGTTTAAATGATGAAAGGATCCTAGCCAAAATCATGACTGGAAAACTGAAAGGAGTGGATGAGTGTTTTGCTCTAGTATGGGACTTCTCAGTAGATTAATTGATGATTTAAACTATGAGAATTCTACGATCTCTACGAATTTCCTCTATACTACTACTACTACTACTAATAATAATAATAATAATTATCTACTCACAAGTGGCAAGCTTCAAAATAGAATTGCCGGAGTTCTAGTGAGAAGCTGTGGCTAGTGGAGTTCTATCATGTAGTGTGTAAGCATGTTGTGGAACATCTTGAGTTCATTGAAGTTAGATATTTACACCGTTGGATGTCAACTAAGAAGTCATTAGATTGATGCTCGCATCCGAGACCGAAATTTTTAGATTCGATCATCAGATGGAGTCGAATATGTGCACTGATGATGAATCCAATACTAGGGACAGTGAGCCATCCAGTGTTTCCAGGTTTTTAATATTAGTTCAGCTGAGATCAGTTCTTGTTTTAAGCTATGAAAATTCTACAATCTCCACAAATCCCCCTATACTAAAAGTAGATTATTTATAAAAAATTGTCCAGTTAAAACACACTGAAACACAAGCACTCTGTACATTACCATACAATGGTTGGACAGACATAAGCAGTATAAAGCAGGAATTGGAAGTTGGATACTTACTAGCAGTGGAGTGAAATAAAGGGAAAAGGAAAGGAAACGGATAGCGATCGGAATTAGAACAGGATCGGAAGAATGGTGAAGTATGTACAGAAAAACTGAGGGAAAATATGCAATTTACGTATTTAATGTATGATTTCCATATTTTAATAAGCTACAGTATAATTCTGCATTAAACAATAAATTAGCTTACCGCACCTGAGCTTTTGATCATTACAATACCACTTGATTATATCATAAGCAAAACGAATAGTCGAAAATTTTTTTCTACATAAAGCATGGGTTTTAATCAATCATTGAAAACTACAATAGGTTAGTTAGTTCGTGTTAGTATAGTGCATTCACAAATTCATATGGTAATAGAAACTCTAAATTAAATATCCTCAAACTTCTGGTAGCAACAGAACAATCTATGTTTTTTTTTTAATTTTAAGAATAAATAAAATTGTGAGATTTTATTTTAAATTTTCTTTTAAGTGAGTGTTTTATAAAGATTGGTTAACTTCGATTGAAGTTTTCATGACAGATGAATATCAGTTGGTGAATCACTGAAGGTACATCCAGTGTGTTTATTGATCTCTTAGTTGACATTAAATTTTTTAAAAACATTGTTTCTTCTAGATTTTCATATGCACACTATATCTATAAAAAAAGTACCTCCAATGGTATATATGCATACAAAAATCTACTACCAATTCGTGCTACACAATCTAAGAGCCTTAATAATTCATTGAAATAAGAACACATGACGAAAATAGTTTTCAAAAATGTATGATTTGCACACACAAATATATATATATATATATATTTATTTAACAAAACAATATGACTAACCTGTTGATGAATATAAGCAAAGTACCAGCAATCGTTCATTTATTAACTATAATTGATTTTAATAGTTCAGATCATGAGGCAATTTAAGCTAGACTACCATGGAAAACCTAGAAGCACTGGACGACTGTTTCGTCTTATTGTGGGACTCCTCAGCAGTGCACATCCATGATCCCGCCTCGTGAAGCTCGAACTCAGGACCTGTCAGTCTCGCGTGAGAACGTTTAAACTCTAAACCACTGAGCCGGTACTCAACGGTGTTGGTATCCAACTTCAAGTAATCCATAATTCATCTATCAAAATCTTTAATTTAAATAACATATTGTTCTGCCGAGTACTACTATTGCTATTATAAAACCTTGACATAATTAAAAACTCTGACTTAATCTTATAAATTTTTCAATGTACCAATAAGACAATTAGTATCATTATTACTCAATGTAACAAACCTCATTAATTGAAATTAGACATAAATCATATGACTGTATAATAAGTAGAACAATGTCTTCATTAGTATACCTATTAAAAAACGTTATGATTGTTACTTATAAACACATTAACAAATTATAATTATTAATCGTTAACTACATACTAGTATCAATCATATGAGAATGATTGATATAGGTATACTAAATGAAATTTATATGGTTGTAGCTTTCTTCTCCTTTATTCGATACAGTCAAATTTCCGACATTTATCATTGGAACCCATTCAGCGTTATACAGACCGAGTTCAGTTATGAGCAATGAATTTAGGACATAAATAGAGAGAGAGAGAATAACAAGTATATTTTTTTAGCTTCTAAAAGTAGGATACTATAGTAACACGTTGCTTTTCATCAGAAAGTTCACTAAAAACGATAAGGTATTTAAGATGATAACAAGGGATCTTAACAAGGACTGAAAAACAACGAGAACAAAATAAAAATATAGTAAAATATAAAATGACACAATTAGAGCAACCGTAGACAAACTACAGCATGAACAAGACTAAACTTCATGACTATCCAAGGTCAAGATCTAAAAGATAATAAAAGATGAATACACACTCTTTTTGCTGTTGAAGTCGAATTCGGGTCGAACAAGTTACAATTAGGAGGTCAGCGCCTTGTAATACAGGCTCCGACCAACAAGTGGCTTCATCAACTGATTTCATGATGCAAACCTGTAATAAGTGACACTGAATAATAAAGTATATCTGACAATAAATTAGAGTTTTCTTAATATTGTATATATATATATATATATATATATATATATATATATATATATATATTGGTGATGAAAACAGAGAAATAGATTTCTAATTAATTCACCTAGTCGGTCAAAAAGAGATGTTCATAACTTAAATATACAACAAAATAACATTCGTGTTGTCGGAATTTCATAAATATCCCTCTACAAAGTCACTTCAAGTCCAGAAAGGGTCTAAAAATTTTGTCCGGTCGGCATTGTAAAGAACCCGCCAGAGCCATCTGGGAAAATGAACGATTATACATCACCTACGTTAATACTGCATTCGGAAGTCTACGGAGGTTTCTAGAAGATCAAGGTCACTAAAAAAAACCAACAAGTGAATCCGATTTTATGCATATCAATTCAATTTGAATTGAAGCTTTTACTCATAATTCGCGCCTTTTTCCTATTATACGATTTTAAGTGTAGATATAGAGTCTAGAGAAGTATTTAGGAAGTCGGTTACAAGTGATTAATTAGAAGATTTACTGATGTATATAACTAATTACCAATGAAAAATTCGAATCAAGATACTATTAATCCATACCACAGATTATTAATATTCGCCCTTACGAAAAACCTAGTCGACTTTGTACAATTCCAACCAATTAAAACATCATTAAACTGTCACAAGTATAATTATTATCCATCATTTACCACAAAAACCAATAAGAAAACAAAAGGAGATAGTATGTTTTGTCATCGTTATAGTAAATATTTGCATATAATTTTACATTTCCTCTGGAATGTAATAAAATAATACTGTTCAAACAAACTGTAATACACATAAAACTATGCACAAATATATTAATTCATTTATTTACAAAATTAAGAATAACATGAAAATTCATTTATTTATCTTTCATCTTTTACAACAAACTTTTCTCTGTATAACGAACATTAATTCTATTTTGTAATTCTTTCAACCAACATTGATCTATTTCTTTATAACCTATTAAAATGGGACGTATCGATGATGATAAAGATGACTGATCGATACTACTACTACTACTACTACTACTAGTAGTAGTAGTAGTATTAGCAGTATTAGTATTGTTTGCTGTATTCTTTCCATATTTTACAAAATTATCATTGCATGTTTGAATTGTAATATTGAATAAACCGCCTAAATGTGATAAAAATATTTGGAAATTTGTTAATGCTGTACGTAAACGTTGACGATGTTTTTGTGCCTAATAGTAGAAATAAAAGATAACAATATATAAAATGAGAATACTTAAGCAGATCAATAGTATGAACAGTATTACTATCATCACTTTGAACTATTCTTACATCATTGTTTAATAATAATGATAATAAAAATAGGAGAACAACTAACACAATAGAGATGGTGAAGATTTGTAGCTCAGGTGGATGATTTTGGTGGAGTTTTGTTTTCTGAGCTGGATGGTTTGGTCGTGGAGCTTTCATCGTTCTTCTGAACGACATCTCCACGACCAAACCATACAGCTCAGAAAACAAAACTCCACCAATAACACAATAGAACAACATATAAAACAGAAACAAACAAGAAAATAAATTGTCGTAACCAATGAAAAACTTATCTATTAAATTATATGTATAGGAATATATTGACAAGATGAACAAATTAAATAAATATAAAGCATGATAGTGATGAAGTGGAAAAGAGAAGAAGAACATAATAACACTTTATTTAAGTAAATTTGACATTTACTTCCTGGTACAAAAATCGGTCACGCAATCATTAGAAAATTAAAAATAATAATGAAAATAACATTTAGCTAGTTAAGTTAATTTTTCTCTTTTCACACGGTCTTTATGTTTAATATTAAAGATAAAATGATAATGATAAATGTATAAAATGAAAAGAAGTTGTTCTTTTCGCTGTTTTTCTCATCTTTTTTCCTCTTCTCTAAGATACACAAAAGTCAAAGAATATTCAATTTTCAATAAGTCTTGAATTATATACACATATTTTATTACTATTATTAGCTCTGCCTGTAGCTCTTCTAGAGCAACTGTCAGTTTCAAATCCAGATAAAGGAAAAGAGTTGAACATGGGGTCAGCATCTATATCTTGCAGAAAACAACCTTGCTAAATAAACACTAACCAAATTATTATTATTATTATTATTACGATTACTAATAATAATAACAACAGTAATAACAGTCCACGACTCGCAATATCTTAAACAATTGTAACATTGTGAGCAATATTTATATGGATTTCAAGATGAAAACAAATTCAATCATTAATGAGAGATTATACAAATCCTGCCTTATTGAGGAGTGACTTTGAAACTGTCCTATTATGATGCCTGTGTATTAATCGTAAGGACAACTGATATTTACTTTTTTAATTAACAGATGACTGAGACTAAGAACTTGAACATATATGTAATAAATAAGTAATATTTAATTGAATTTGTAAATAATCATTGAGTAACAGATGAAAAATTAATTTCTATAATAGTAAGGTTTTAGATTATCATTTTATTGATATTCGGGACTGAATTCTGATCATTTCTTCATTTTGATGTATGTTATCCTATGCAGATTATCTTGACATAGTCATTCGAAACAAAGATTGTTTAAAATAGATGAATTATGGATAACAGTGGAAACCTAGGAATGTGTATCATCCTATTTGCGACTCGTCAGCTGAATGTACAACGATGGGATAGTTTAAACTCTTAGTAATAACGATATAAACACGTCATGTGTTGAAAAAGTCAATAAAAATCTTAACTCAGTAGCTCAGTGAGTAACGCTTTATCATTTGAGACGAAAGGACAGGATTCTAATCCTGATGTGACCATTAAGACTAGAGTGCAGATATATCAAACTCATAACTCGTAAATAGGATGACACATACTTCCTGAATCTTGCTTTTAGCCGAATCTATTGTGTTATAACAATTATTTCTGTTAAGAAATTTGTGAAGATTAGTTTGTTTACACTAGACATGTGCTTCATGGATTGTCATTTGATAAGGTCATTCATTGAAGATCATACAGAGCTGAATAGAACTTTTACTTTAATCATGATCTCTCTAGCAGTATACATCTCCATTGCAACAGGGATTAAACCCAGGATGATCCACAAACAATTAACTTTTATACCATCGTATTGGAATTCACTGATCTAATTCTAATTCCAACCAACCGGTGAAATAGCACGACCATTATAAAAACCCATTGGTCCCAACTACCTTACTTTTCAATACGGACGGACTGTCATGCCATGTAATTATAACTCTTAAAGCTATAAATCTATTAACCCAAAATTTCTACAAATTTGTTTTAATAATCATTTATCCTTCACAGTTTTTTTCCTGGAGCTATCGATCAAAATGTAACGTCTCTAAACGATGGTAGTATATATAAGAAAATGTGAACAGTATCCTTTACTAACTAATCACATAATAGTCAAGTTAATTCACAAAACTACACTCGTAATTCGTATTTAAAATACTAGTATAAAATGAACTTACTAAGCTTTTTCAACAAATAATGTCACTGTTGTTATTTGTTGTCAATTTGTAGTAGTTAGATTTCAACTGACTACACTATACTGAAATATGAAGTCAGGTATTTAAAACTAGAATGATTTTAATTGGATGAAACGATTTTCGATTATGGTGTGATAGTTTATAGTGAAGGGATACTATCACCTTTCACCATTGTCCTGATTCATCAATGAAGTTGGGTAGGGTCGCCCAATCTCATTGTTCCTCTTCAACTTTGTCATCGATGATATTCTGGAAACAGCAATGATTGAAGTATGTTGTGGTATGGAGAGAGACTTTTCAATCTTGAATATGTAAATAATACTGCCCTATATTGTGATGACACAAACTGTGTAAATTCCACTTGATCAGTTGCCGTAAGAGTGACATGCTATTCGCATCTTCTAGATCAGTCAGTCAGTCAGTAACAACGTAGAACTTCGTACGTACGTACATCAGTTCGAGTTGCCACACCACATTAGCACAGAGATGCAGTTGTCGATTCAAATCCCGTAGTGGTAGAGGTAGCAAGAGTATAAGCAGTAATCGGGAAGATTAGGGTTTGGAGATTTTATTTAAAGAGCATAATACAGTGAAATAAATTTGGAAAGAGGAAAAAAGGGACATGAAGGATTCAGAAGATTAGAATTTGGGAGAACACAAAGAGTGGATGCACCTGCGCCATTGCAAACGATTTTGAGTCATGTCATTCAGGGTCTCTAACCATCGGTTGCTATCATCTCGTGGTCCCCAACCAGGTAGTCTACACCTACCAACATGACTCAGTCCCCAATAATGATAGGGGCATATGTCTGGAAACACTCTCCGTAGTGATGCACTGGAAGTAGTTGAAATATTTGTGTATTTGGGTACAGTGAAAACCAGAGTGCCTTATCAGTCTGGACAGCTGCTTTGGAGTCGTCGTTTTGTTCCATGCATTTGAAACCCAGACTCTCCGGGTTAAGTCAGTCAGTCAGTCAGTAACAAAATAGAACTTCGTACGTACGTACATCAGTTCGAGTTGCCACACCACATTAGCACAGAGATGCAGTTGTCGATTCAAATCCCGTAGTGGTAGAGGTAGCAAGAGTATAAGCAGTAATCGGGAAGATTAGGGTTTGGAGATTTTATCTAAAGAGCATAATACAGTGAAATAAATTTGGAAAGAGGAAAAAAGGGACATGAAGGATTCAGAAGATTAGAATTTGGGAGAACACAAAGAGTGGATGCACCTGCGCCATTGCAAACGATTTTGAGTCATGTCATTCAGGGTCTCTAACCATCGGTTGCTATCATCTCGTGGTCCCCAACCAGGTAGTCTACACCTACCAACATGACTCAGTCCCCAATAATGATAGGGGCATATGTCTGGAAACACTCTCCGTAGTGATGCACTGGAAGTAGTTGAAATATTTGTGTATTTGGGTACAGTGAAAACCAGAGTGCCTTATCAGTCTGGACAGCTGCTTTGGAGTCGTCGTTTTGTTCCATGCATTTGAAACCCAGACTCTCCGGGTTAAGTCAGTCAGTCAGTCAGTAACAAAATAGAACTTCGTACGTACGTACATCAGTTCGAGTTGCCACACCACATTAGCACAGAGATGCAGTTGTCGATTCAAATCCCGTAGTGGTAGAGGTAGCAAGAGTATAAGCAGTAATCGGGAAGATTAGGGTTTGGAGATTTTATTTAAAGAGCATAATACAGTGAAATAAATTTGGAAAGAGGAAAAAAGGGACATGAAGGATTCAGAAGATTAGAATTTGGGAGAACACAAAGAGTGGATGCACCTGCGCCATTGCAAACGATTTTGAGTCATGTCATTCAGGGTCTCTAACCATCGGTTGCTATCATCTCGTGGTCCCCAACCAGGTAGTCTACACCTACCAACATGACTCAGTCCCCAATAATGATAGGGGCATATGTCTGGAAACACTCTCCGTAGTGATGCACTGGAAGTAGTTGAAATATTTGTGTATTTGGGTACAGTGAAAACCAGAGTGCCTTATCAGTCTGGACAGCTGCTTTGGAGTCGTCGTTTTGTTCCATGCATTTGAAACCCAGACTCTCCGGGTTAAGTCAGTCAGTCAGTCAGTAACAAAATAGAACTTCGTACGTACGTACATCAGTTCGAGTTGCCACACCACATTAGCACAGAGATGCAGTTGTCGATTCAAATCCCGTAGTGGTAGAGGTAGCAAGAGTATAAGCAGTAATCGGGAAGATTAGGGTTTGGAGATTTTATCTAAAGAGCATAATACAGTGAAATAAATTTGGAAAGAGGAAAAAAGGGACATGAAGGATTCAGAAGATTAGAATTTGGGAGAACACAAAGAGTGGATGCACCTGCGCCATTGCAAACGATTTTGAGTCATGTCATTCAGGGTCTCTAACCATCGGTTGCTATCATCTCGTGGTCCCCAACCAGGTAGTCTACACCTACCAACATGACTCAGTCCCCAATAATGATAGGGGCATATGTCTGGAAACACTCTCCGTAGTGATGCACTGGAAGTAGTTGAAATATTTGTGTATTTGGGTACAGTGAAAACCAGAGTGCCTTATCAGTCTGGACAGCTGCTTTGGAGTCGTCGTTTTGTTCCATGCATTTGAAACCCAGACTCTCCGGGTTAAGTCAGTCAGTCAGTCAGTAACAAAATAGAACTTCGTACGTACGTACATCAGTTCGAGTTGCCACACCACAT